GGGGGCTCCTGGGGACCGAGGCGGCTCTGTCCGCGGTCCCGGCCCACCCGGTGCCTCGCTCCGTCCGTCCCCGGTCCACACCGCAGGCGCTCCCCGGGGCTGGGTTCCGGGGTGCGGGTCGGGGCCGCTGCTGTCCCCTGCCACCCACCACGTCCTCCGGGGTGCCCAGTCGGGCCGGCGGTGCCCGTCAGTAGGGACAGAAGGCTCCGTCCTGCCCGCGCCTCCACCCATGTCCTGGAGCCCAGAGGCAGCTTCGCGCAAGCCAGGCGGCCGGGCCCTGCGGAAGCCCGGCCCTGCCGTCCGGGAGGACTAGAGGCCTCGCCTGGTCGGCGCCCGAGGCCGGCTCTCCGTCCAGCTGACCTGGGCACTCGCACTGCCAACACAGGCAAGGGCGGCCGAACTGTCTCCTGCCCGGCAATTTCAGTTCCAGGCCTCTCAGCTGCCTGAGGCGGATAGCTGCGGTGCACTCCCTGGGGATTATTGCAATAACCGAAAAAGAAGCTGCTTCCAGAAGAAAGTTCAAAATGCAGAATGAGGACGTAGGTAAAACACCCACGGGAGTCAAATTAGCACACACACTCTACTTCAGTTTAAAATACAGACCTGTTAAAGAGTCCCAGTTGAAAGAAAGTTGTGTGTTCCACAGCCTGAAATGTCACCGATCAGAGACGGTGGTGGCCACAGAGTTTCACCAGCGCTGTCCACCGCAATGACGAGAAAGAAATCCACTTTAGATGCTTCAAGGCTGTAGCAATTGTACATAGAGAGGCTTTAGAGGCAAGACCGGCTTTTTTCCTGGCCAAATCAAAAGTCTGCGGTATAACTAGCTGCAGCTCAAGGCTCTGCTGGCCCATAGTTAGCTGAGGGCCAGCGCTGGCAGGGAGTGGGTTGTTTTTTGGTGGTCGGGCAGGAGGTCAGAAGAACCGGAGAACCGGGCAGCTTCGGGTTTTCCCCGCCCTGCCCCCACCATGCAGCCTCCAGGTCAGGGAGTGGGGAGGCAGGGGCCCCAGCAGCAGGAGCCCTGCCTGGGAGGAGGAAGTGGCGAGTGGGGACAGAACAGTAAGACAATGGGGGCAGCTGTGGACCTCTGGGCAGGCCTGGGTTTGTTTATCACTACCTCTGCACCCACAGGGCTTGCGATGTTAAAGGTCCCAGAGCTACAGTTAAAAAATGCGGGGCTGGTGTCCTCTGAACAGACAGCTGCCATGTGTACAATCCGGCCCAGAAACGCCTCTCTCCTGCCTGGGCCGAGGCACCGGTGGTGGGAGCCAGGCAGCCACAAAAGCCTCTTGTCCCTTACAAGCAGAGAGGCATCTGGAAATCTAATGGAGAGATTCTCACTCAGATTGTCCTGCAGACTCTCCTACCTCGATCAAGGAGCGTTCCGCAAGGCGGAGATAAGCATTCTTTATTTGAGGTATTTTTTCTTCTTTTATTTTTCTCTGTTTTTCGATTTGAAATTGGTTTTTATTCGAATTGGTTGTTATTTGTGTACATGAAGGAAATGACTTATTATTTTTATGAGGATCTCACTATATTGCCTAGGCAAGTCTCAAACTCATGTTCCTCCTGCCTCAGCCTCTTGAGCGGCCGGGTAAGATTACAGTCTCCGGGTGCAGCGTCTGGCTTACAAATAGGTATTTAGCAAAGACTTTTTGCTAATGATAGTCTTGAGCTCTTTCCCCACTTCTCTCTGCTCTCTCTTACACTCACCCACAATGCATACAAAACTGCCCAGTTTGTGTCTTGCATTACACTTTTCACTTAGCTTGATAAAGATCGAAGTCATGCACCAACTTGTCTCTCTGAAACCCCGTGCACGTCTTGTCTTTCCTGGCAGTAAAATCTAAATGTTGTTTTTGAATTCTGCCAGCTCAGCTGCCCTCGGCCCTCCTGAGATGACGCAATATTAGAATAGGGCCTAGAAAGCTGCTGTCTGTCGCTGGCTGGCTGCGCCAGGCCTCCAGGGGCCGTGGAGAAGGACCAGACGAGCACTCTGGTGAGTGATCTCTTCCGCCCTGTGCTGCACGGGGCAGCAGAGCATCACAAGAGTACGCTGTCCACCGTTGCAGGGCTTCAGCTTGGGCCAGTTCTTGCCGGGTCTTTACTGCTCACACCTGTATCGGCAGAAGCTAGAAGGAGAGAGATGCTGTGGGTGGCTTCGGCCGCCCACAGAGAGTAGGGGTTTTGTCTGTCTCTCCTCCTCCCTGCTTCTCACCCGACTGCCGGGGCCCAGGCCTAGGCACCTGGCCTTGATAGCAATGCTACCCATGGACTGGGACACTTTTGTTTTCCCTTAGAAGCTGCAGGCTGGGACATTTATTAGTCTAGACAGCCAGCCCTGTAACACCTACTGTATTTTATACAGCACAGCCGTCCAGACACACCCGCCACCGGGTCATGAAAACCAACACTCATCTGCACCTCCTTGCCCCTGGCTTAGGGCCTGGCAGGAGGAGCCTGGGATCTGAAACACTCAGACAATTAGTCTGTCTCCCTTTCGCTTGGGTTTTCATATTTGCTAGAGTTCATGTCCTCTGCCGGTTGGCATGGAAAATACTGGAAGGAAGTGGGTGAGTGCATAAGAGAGAAGCTGATTTTCTTTGGTAGGTAGGGGTAGGACTAGCAGGCATTTAGGGATTTGAAGATTTTAATAAACTACTTACAAATGTGTGACAAATTAGTGCTTAACTGCCTTTCACCAAAGCTTTGAGTCCAATTGGTAATGACAGCTGATGTTTATGAACATTAACCATGAACGCTGCCCTGTGTGAAGCGTCTGATGCATATCAACTCATTTCATCTTCACAGAAAGCTTGTAGGGTGATTACGCCACCTATTTTATTTTATTTTTGAGACAGGGTTTCACTATGTAGTTCAGGCTGGCCTTGAACTTACTTTGCAGCCCAGGCGGGTCTTGAACTCACGGCACTCCTCCTGCCTCGGCCTCCAAGTGCTGGCATTATGGGCGTGTGTCACCACTCCCAGCTTATTCCACCCATTTTAAAGGAAATTGAAGCATTAGAGACTTTCTATAACAATGCTGGTAGGCAACAGAGTCAGGATTTGACTAAATTTTGCACCAGGGAATTTGAAAGATCTCTTTATATTTTATATATATATACATATATATATATATGTAATAATTCTTGGCTTTCATAACTGATTAAAATACTGTCCTGAGATTAGCCTTGTAACATTTTTGTAGACTCCATTAAAAAATAGTTTTATGATTTAAATGAATGATTTTTGCAGCATTGCTAGATAATTCAGTAGTAATTTAATTAAACAGTATTATTTATCAAAGCTCATTGAGATTGATAATTATGATGTAATTAGGGAGTAAACTATCTCAATTCTAATAAGTCACACTCAAGGTTAGTTGGAGCAGGGCACTTTGCTTTTTCCATTTTCTACCATTGACATTAAGGCACTTAACTAGAACCATGTAAATAAGCTTAGGTAGCCTCTAAATGTAAGAAATTTAACTTTACTAATAGCAACATATTTCTTTCAACAGGAACCAGATAGGTAGCTCTACTTTTTTCAAAAAAATGTTTTTAGTTGTAAAAATACTTTAAAACAAAGAATAGAAATAATGTATCTTGCAGCTCAACAGAGTAACCAGAAAGGGTAAATTTTGTTGCCAATTTAGATTTAGTCTTTGCTCCTATACTTAAGCCAAATAGAAAAGTATTTCTGTAATCCTTTCCGTCATTTGCCAGGTAGCCTGTGGGACTCCACGTGGTTGTTCTGTCCTCATTATAAAGGTTTTTTTGGGGAGAGGGCTGGAAATATCATTTATGTTGGTCACTTTCTCCAGATTGAAAACATAATTTTTAACCTTATGCCCCAAAGTTGTGCATTTCAGCATATGCACACACGTACATACATACTGAATCTTTAAAAGCCTATTCACAGAGGGCCTTTAAAAGCCTCTGTCTTACCTCGTTCATGGGTAGTCACCCAGCCAGGCGCACACCCCGCCGCGCAGAAGTGGCCTGCTTCGAAGGGGCTTCGCTCACTTGTGATTCCAAATTCCTGCTACACACTCGCACCCTGTTTGTAAAGAATTGAGTCCAGAGCCTTCTCGGCTTTCCGGACCTGCAAGAGTCACACTAGCACTGGGCCGGAGAGTCAGCCAATCCCTCGCTTTCCCTTTTTAACAGCGCAGGAGAACACGCGCCTTTGGCCCTCTTTAAAGCTTCTGTGCTGTAAGGGGTGGAGGAGAAATCTAAGCATAAAAAGAAGTGGGGGAAATAGAACGTTTTTGGAGCAGTGCCTGTTCTTTGTGAGGGGCCGGGCGACTATGTCCCCCTTTGGTGAGACTGTGGTTCATTTGTCTTCCCACTCTTCCTTCCAACAAAAGAGGCAGAGGGCGGAGGGCCCTCATTTTATTGCTATCGACTTTTGCCAAAGCTTTGCAGCCAAACGTGGGTGATGCACTCCTGGAACATCTGAGGAGCCCCGTGAGACATTCGGAGGTGCAGTTCTAAAAACAGCAGTAACTTCACAGATCAGGTTCTCCTTGAACCAGGAAGTTCATCTCACCCATGTGGTGTGCAGGGTGCTGAGAAGCTTGTCCGAGGTCAGGTTACTGCCAATGCATTCTCTCTCCCTAGACCCCCGCTCTTCTAACATACTGCGCTGTATTATAATTCATTTGTCCTTTGGCCTTCCTACTTCATACAGAATTTCTTTTCTTTTTTGGGGGGGGACCGGGAATTGAACTCAGGACCTTGTACTTACCAGGCAGGCTCTTATGCCACTGAGCTATATCCCCGACCTCACCTTCCTACTTCAGTGTCAACGTTTTTCTCCCTAACATGTCAACAAGTTGACTCTATGTATAGGGCTTGAAAAGTCTCTTTGTAATCTCAACATTCACATGTGTAACCTATTTCAAAGGCCCTTTTTTGGGAAAGAAGAGTTGGGCAATTGTTTTCTGTTGGGTGATGGATCTTCCTTTCGAAGAAGGCAGATTTATTTTAAACAAACGTGTGTTTCCATTTCTAAAGCTTCACCTGGCTGCCTTCCAACATGGGGCAGAGGATGAGAAACCTTCACTGGAGGAAAACAAGAGGTAACTCCCAAGCCCTCAAGTCTGAATTCCCAATCACTATATGTTGTATCCAAATACAGAAGTTCCTGCATTTCCTTGATTACGTTGTAGTGTCTCACATTTGTGGAAGGCCTCACCAGGAGTTCTTTGTAATTTTTTTGTAACTATTTGCTCATCATCTCTGAGGTCAAGTAGATGAGAGCATTTTCTGTTACAAATTTCCCTCAAAATAATAAAGCTCAAGTGCTAGTGGACTATAAAATGAATGCCATGTTGATTTCATAGATGGTAGCTTTTAAATGAAGTGAAAGGACCTTTGTTTAATTAATTCAGCCATTCGTTTAGTAATCATTTATTATGTTCTTGTCTCATGCCCCCACTGGAAGGAACATCTGCCTGTCACTCACGCCTGCTAAACCAGAGGAATCAAACCATACAATAATGAGTGTCATTTATTTGAGCACTTTCCACATGCCAGGCACTATGTTAAAGACCCTCCACAGGCTGCTTTAGTTAATCCTCTGAGCAATCTGTCTTAGTATCTTTGTCCTAAACTTCAGGAAGCTGAGTTTCCCGTGTTTTACCTCTGCCAACCTGGGGACGTGGGATCCAGGGCTGACCCCACTTGGCCTCATTCCGAGTTTGGGCCTGGAATCACTCGAGGTTCCTGACAAGTCCTCCTCTGAAATAATGCTGAGATTGGAATCAAGATAACCAAGTGGAATCTGGGGAACTCAAGAAAGGTCTGAACTAAAGTTACTGTGTGGAATTTACGGTCAGTTTGATTGTGGCTGCTGATTCACTGTCTAAGTTTTATTAATGCTACCTTGTTTTTGCTGGGTTATTTATAAAGCCATCATTCTAATTTTCAATGATGGTGAGTTTATTGCTCCTCTAATCACCAGTCCGGGCCGGTCTCTGTGACCTCTGAGCTCAGAGCGAGGTTACATCTGACCCTCTCCTCCCTGAGCACCCGGGTCATGCTGTCCTCTCTCTGCATGGACTTGTTGGCGCAAAAGTTATCACTTTCACTGCTTATTTCTTCTTAACATTTTTACCATTTTTATCTTGTGGAGGGCAGGGTCTCTTGAATATGCTCCTTTCGTATCCTGTCTGCTGTCTCTCACATGCTGTTTCTAGTAGGTATTTGCTAACTATAGGAGCGCTGCTTACCGCCTTTGGACATAGCAGGGGGCGGGGGGCACAGGGGTTTCAGGACATGTTAAGTTCTTTTACAATGGCAAGACCTTTGGGGGTGGAGAGGCTCTATCCGAACTCACTGTCAGCTTGCTAATCCTCCAAAGAGGCCAGCCTGAAAGAAATGAGGCCCACGGTTCATAAAAACCAGA